CAGAGACGTGGTTATTTCCGTCGAAAGAAATTCAAATAAAAAAAATGCAGCGACAGACCAAACAACCTCCGGCTGAAAAGTACCGAATTACTGAAGCGAGAGTGGTACCTTGAAAAAGGTTTATTTCAAGTTAGTTACCTACATATAGTAAGAACAAATTTTACGATAATACAACCAAACGAAAATATTGAAAACATAGTGGATATATGTTTTATTATTAGAGATATGATGGAACGGTGGTGGCGGTGGTGACGGCCCCATGCAGGGGCTACGTACTAGCTAGCTAGCTAGCTAGCGAGATCATTAATTCATTAGCAGTAGTGGTGGTGGTGGTGGTTGCGACTAGCGTCTCGATTCTTCCCCCACTGATGAATCTTGAGGTGGAGCTCGGCCGCAGCAATAAGGAAGTAAGCACCCTGAATACGACTGAGAATAAGCGATCAACTCTTCGAGCGTCTTGAGCCTCAAGTCATCGGCCATCTGCAGAATCCCACCAGCCCCTTCTCCTTGGGTGACAGGCTGCTGCTTTTGTGGCAAGCTATATATGTTTCTTGTTGAGCTGGCGATTGCCAAGGGAAGCAGAGACAACATTAGCGTCGTCGTCGTTGTGCAATTGGATTAAGTGAAATCGAATATTCGACGCATCAAACGCTTTATTTTTTTCGTTCTTTGTTTGATTTTTGCTTTTGATTACCTCTGTTTTTTGCTTAATAGTATTGGGAATAAGCTGATACAGGATTCGGATCAGAGTTCAGAAGCACCAAGAAATATGAAACATTATCATACCAGAGTATAGGATTACTCATTGTATTTATATGATTGACTGCAATTTCCTTCGTTACCCAAACAAATTAAAGAAATGAAGTTACTATATGAATATAAAATAATAATTGAATTAAATAAATATAGTACATACCAAGTTGGTTTTTTTTTTGATAAATAATACCAAGTTGGTTAATTAGAGATGAATTCCATGTTTAATAATATCTCATTGCAAACAAGATTAATAATGATAATTACTTTATTGAACGTCCTAGAATTCCTACCCTCTCCAGACTGTATCAACAATGCACCTAAATAATAATGAACTAAACAACAATATCATTTTATGAAATCACTAAAAGACAATTATAAGCATATATAAAAAGAGAGGCTGCTAATTAATATATGGCCATATATAGGCCCATAACATAACATAAAATCAAATAATTAAGTACATCAAGCATTTAGTATTACTAATTAAAAACTGAAAAACCATACAATGAACATAGCATAAAAAAAATTCAAAAATACACCTATAAACAATAATTATTTAGTTTATATGTGCAAAATTAATTACATTTTTATTATATTTTTTGGGTAAATTCCACTTTACCCCCTTTACTCTGCCCAAGAACCATTTTACCCCCTCGTATTCTTAATTTCGTCGATTTACCCCCTTGTACTTGTACAATTTCCCAATACAACCCTCTTCGTCAACTTTTTTCGATTTTGACTTTGACGCCATTTGGTCAAGAGTCAAAATATTGACGTAAATATTGATTTTTTTCGATTTTGACTCTCGAGATTAGAAAAGAGAAAGTTTCGCACATTCATATATTTTTTTTCTTTGCACTAGGTGGAATCGATCAATTTTTGGGTCTTGATTTTTACTAAGTTAGGGGTTCAATTTGGGGATATCTTGGAAGGGAAAGTGGTGGGAGAAGAAGAAATGACAATATTGACGGAGGAGAAACGACGTGTTATAGGCAGTGGCAATTTTGTAATTTACAGAGTTGACCAAACGGCGTTAGAGTCAAAATTGACAAAAGTCGAAGGAAAGGACTGTATTAGAAAATTGTACAAGTACAAGGGGGTAAATCGATGAAATTAAGAGAACGAGGAGGTAAAATGATTCTCAGACAGAGTACGAAGGGGTAAAGTGGAATTTACCCTATATTTTTATTACATGGCCCAGAAAAGCCTATAAAGTTTTTCCTCTTTTGCTATTTCTCATCCACAAGAAGCAGTATTATTTTCCCTCTTTTCTTCGCCCTACTCGAAAAAATTCTGAATTTCTAAATCATCATAATTAAAAATAAATAAATCCGGAAAAGCTTTTTACACTACATTCCATCCGAGTTTGGCACTAACCATACACATTACAAACTCAGGGCTAATGTGTAATTAAGATTATTTTTTCTTTTTTTCTTTGACTAAATTAAAGTCGTTTACGAGGAAAAGTATGGAAGACGAGACTCGAAACCTAAAACTTTACTCGACAAAGGTTTGGTAAATAATTAAATATGATTTGTTTTTTAGAGAATAAATATTTATTTCTTTGTCCTTGTTTGACCGAATATAAATCATATTCATAATCAACCATGGCCAAGAGAAATAAACAGCTGGCTACCCGTTTCACCACAAAAATAAATAATTATAATAATAATTAATAAACAAAAAAAAAAAGGAAAGAGTTATTTCTATTTTCGATCTTTCTATTAATAAATAAAAGGTAAATTACAATCAATCCATAAGGTATAATGTAATTACAACCATCCTCAACTATAAATTAACTTGCACGTTTATCCTCACGGTTTCAAATTTAGTGGAATTTTTGAGATTATATAGAAAATTATCACTAGTTGTATCCGTTTTATTCCATTCGAACTCCACATTTTGAAGTAAGATGATTATAATTACGTATTTTTTGGCTTGTATATATCAGATTCTCGTGTAACAAAAATTGTACTTTTACACAAAACGAGTACAAATTAGAGTACATTAATATATTCCACGAAATTTAAATCATTATGTTGAATTTGATACCATAAGGGTGAAGGTGTAAGAAAAAAATTATAATTGAAAAAGCAGCAATGGTTATCCAAATAACATGGATATTTTCGTAAATTACCCATACCTCAAAGTGGTTGTAATTTTTCCTATACACCAAATATACCCGGCCACCACCCACAAACCCATCACTTCAAAGCTGCAATTTGGTAAAAGCAATTCAATTTTCCGACCAATCTTTTCTTCCCTCTTTCCTTCTACCTATACTTTCTCGTATATATACCCTTGTCTTACTTGTGGGTTTATCTTACAGCCCTTCTCTCTCTCTCTCTCTCTCTCTCTCTCTCATCATCTGGATCTAAAAGAAAGAGTGGCCTAATGAAGTCTATATCTTAAGTTATTTGGAGTATCTCTTTATTTTATTTTTAATTATGTTGTTGGGTATTTTGGTTTTTGTGATCTTCCCAAAAACGAAACTCCCTTCTCACGAGGCTACATACTGGT